CCAAAAACAGCGAGCCTTCCGAAAGTGCACTTCGACTTGAGCTAGTCATTACAAATGCATGCTAAGCAGACAGACATTTGCTGCAGTGAACATTTTGCACGCGGTCAGACATAAGCTGGTTCAAATGATGGCACTGTAAAGCGACTGAAATAGCTTGACATTAGACTGTATGATACAATACCCGAGTGTTTTTTTGCATCAGAAACACCTTTCAAATTTCCGTTTACATTTCATAAAATGGCAAATCTACGGTATCCTCCTGATTGCTTTTGTTTGAGTCGGCCGTAGAAAGTGCCTTTAAGGCCGCACAGTGTGTGCTCTGTGGTTAGGGAATGTCACACATGAGGGCATTTTCAGCAGCACAGTGGCCCTCCTCTACCGGATGCTGCAAAAAATGTGACCGGAAGCAACCTACAGTAGATTACATATCTGATGAAAGATTGGAGATGGGGGGATTAAGCACACATTTGAGGCTGTTTATTTAGTTCAATGGGTTGGCTTGAGGCGCAAAATGATGTTTACTACGAATAAATTCCGTTCATATCAGTATACTGGGAGAAAATATAGGCGAAAATGGGCGAAATCCAGCGTTGGTTAATATCCCAGGAATTTCCTACGCTATTAAACGTTGCGGAAAAGAACTCTTTGTTTTATGAACGTTGCACTATAAAAGAACATTCGTGAAGAGCAGGAACTTTTTACTTATATCTGTTCAGAAAACGGACGATTTTGTTTTGCGTACTTGAAATTGAGGTTAGTTTCATTAAGAGATAGCGCATTATTTTTGGAAAAAATGAGAGCGGAATAAGTTTAACAATCCTATTTTGCACCTACTCCAAGTTTTTTTGCCATAAAATTGATTAACAAACTTGTAAGGCTGTTACTTGCAATACCCCAATTAAAAATGGATATTGTATATTTGAAGGGTTGCAGGCAATAATGCGAATGAGGACTTTATTAGTTTATGGTAAATAAATCGATTTTACAGTCAATATAAAGTTGAAGACAGTTAACATAACACACATTTGAGTGAGTTGTTGCGGGACATTTCGAAATATTTTTTCCAAAAATCGCCGTTGATTTCATTGCCACTCTGCTCTGCATTTGTTATTGTAGAACTGAGCCAAGGGGTAACTAAATATACTGAAAAACTGTTCTGATTTAAATAGCAGTGTTAGCTCTTTCATTTATAATAGAAGATGTGTCCATAATTTTAAGGGAAATCAATCAACTAGCCAAACTTTCCCATTCTGTTCTTGACTTAATCTTCAAAAAAATGAAGTACGCAGACATCCGACGCCAAAATATATAACTAAAGCTGCCCTTCAAGAGATAACTTGCCATAGAAATTTTTTAAATCAATCTTAGGCCTATTCTTTCGTGACTTTTGTTGTGGACCTCCATTTTTATCGGCAATGAGTTGACATGTTTGGGTGGTTCTGAATCCATGACACACACAGAGCTGTATAAGTAAAAAATTTCAAAGGTCGTTATTTAGGCAAATGCTTTTCAGATGTATC